ATGGTACGCCCGACTTTGTGCTGGGGGCTGGAGGGGCAAGGGGCTGACACCCTGGGAGTGAGTTGTGCTGTCCCAGCTCTCGGGGCCGCTCGCAGTGCCCGGGTCCTGCTGGGCTCGCTGTTGGGGATGGGGTCTGTGCGTCTCTTCCTGGGGGAGGTCAGGAGCATCGCTGCGTCACACAGGAAATACAGCATGGATTTTAAAAAAATGGGATTTGCATCCCCCTGCGTTTTTAACCTTCATGTAGCTCATTCAAATGATAAAAAAAGAGGTCTGTGCATCACCTGCACAGCCTTCGTGTTGCAGCCGCTGGGCTAGCCCGGCTGCACAGTGAGCCCCGGGGACGTGGCGAGCGCAGGCGGGACACGGCTGGCGCTGATCCCAGGTGAAGCTGCTGCGTGGACGCGTCAGCCCAGTTGCCTCGCCTGGGCCGGAGCTGCTGGCTGCCGGAGCGCTCTCCGGAGGTGGTGCTGGTTTGGATGCTCAGGGAGGCCAAGTTTTATTTAACTTTGGTTTCCTTAAGTAGAGCAGTAGCAGTTTACAAAAAGCATTTTGACAACAACCTTGGGGTTTTGGGTTGCTTTTTTTAATGTGTGTTTTTTGTTTTCGTTGACTCTGGCAGCGAGTGGTACAAGGGGTTTGATGGCCGTTTCAGGGGAGGGAGGAAACAAATTAAGAATAAATGTAATGAATTAAATTAACGTGTCCATTTCAGAGCAGACATGGCCTCAGTCTAGCTCATGGTTCTCGTACCTATATGTGTGTGTATATATATGTACACAATTTTCTACTTCTTTTCATATGCAAGATGTAGTGGATGGACGGTGCTTCTACCTGCTATGACAAGTGCTGGTTTTCTTCCCCTGTCTGTGTTTTCAGTTCCTTGGCAGGTGTTGCCCGGGCTTTGCCCTGCTCAGAATTAACTGTGTTTTGGAAAAGTAGGAGCCAGTTGAAACACTTCTGTGTTTTTTCTGATATTTTTCCACTTTCCATGTACTTAATTTTTCTTTGGCTCATCTAGTGGGCTCCAAAATGAAGCGCAAGCAGGAGCACCAGCCTGAGCCAGCCGCGAGGGCCGTTGCTGGGCACGGGGCAGGGGCTGTGCCGCCCTGGGGTGCGGAGCAGCTTGGGCAGGGAGGGGGTGTCCCCTGGAGCCTCCCCCAGGTTAAGCACCTGCAGCCCGAAGGTGGAGGTGCCCTGTGTCATGCACTCGGTCACACGTCTTGGAAATGAGTTTCTGTTAGCAGAAGTTAGCAAGGGGTAATTAAGAATTTTCCAGGCTCCTTCATGGACCAAGGAGGGCTGCTTCCCCCGCCCCATTTTTTTTTTTTTTTTCCCTTCTCCCTCCCTTTGGGACAGAGTGTTTGTTTGCTCTGCTGTGGAACATCTGAGCTGAGCCCCCAGCTCATGGAAAAAACACCCCAGCGAGTCTGGTGAGGGACCAGTGGCAGCTAGGAACAGGTTTTACAAAGCCAGCTGAAAGAGCAGCTAGTTCACAAGAAAGGTGATGATGACAGGCCCTAAAAATTATTATCTGCAATAAGACGGCTTGTAACCCAACAAACAACTCTGTCTTGGCTTTTGTTTGAGAAAGGAAAATGCTGTTGTACTCTCCCTATGGCACTATGAAATTCCTGCTTTGCCCATGGATTGTATATATCCTGAAGGAAAGCGAGTTGGTTTTGTTGTTGTGTTTTAGCTCCCTAGGTAGGTTAAGTAGAAAAAAATAAGCTCAGGGTAATCTTTGTTTTGCCTTTGCTGCTGTAACGAGAGGCCCTTTGGTGACAAGGGCAGCTGCCAGGGTTCAGGGACTCACCGTGCGATTTTGGCAGTTGTTGGAGTCTCCCCCAGTGCCGAAGGGCCTTGTGAAACGGCAGGTCGGCAGCGGGAGAGCGCCCGGGGAAGAGGGGCTGTGCTAAAGGGTAGAAGCTGCTGTGGTGTAAAGTCTACCCATTTGTATTTTGCACAGGGGGGAAAAGCCCCAGGAAGTTACTGGGTGAGGCCAGGAAGAAACATGGAGACAATGGGGAAAAGATGGAAACACTTGAATTTTTTTTTTTGTGTTAACCTGCTGCAGAAATCATTCAGTGACCCAAAAGAGAATGATTTCTCATTGAAATGAAGAAGTAAGTTGTAAAATTTGTGTATAACCTAAGTTACCCAGTTAGTTACAACAGAAATCACTAAATTGAAAGCTCAAAAAATAGCATAAAACCTTCCCTAGCAGCAGCGGGTCCGTGTGCGTGACTGACGCACTGGGGTGGCTTTTGCTTTGCTGACCTTTACCTTCAGCTCTCGACCAGCTGGTTGCAGTCCTGCAGCGTGCGACAGGCCTGCCTGGGGCTCGTGATGAGCTGCTGCCGCTCAGCGGGTAGCGTAGGCGAGAGATGGGTTTTCTTGGACAGCGCTGCCAGCCACACTGGTGAAGCGGCAGAGAAGCTGTCCTCGTAAAAACTTTTAGAAATTTAAAAAAAAGTACAGCATGCCAGCAACGCTGACAGTGTTACAACCAGTACAAAACTGTTACAGGCTGTGATGTTGAAGAGTAAAACAGTGCTGAAGGAAGGCTGTAGCTAAAGGGTTACAGCTAAAATGTGGTGGTTGAGTTCCCTGGATGGCAGGGAGGATGAGTTGTGGGAGCTGGAAGAAGTTGGTTAAAACAGTAAAAGTGATGGAGTCGAAGAGAGTGACAGGGAAGGGGTGTGAGGTGTAAAAAAAACCACAACTGACATGCAGTAGTAGAGTCCAAGAGAAGAAAATAGATTACTCCAGGCAAATATTAGTGGAAAAAAAGTTTATATACTTATCGTATAAAGATTACAAGTAAGCAATTAAAAAAATCTTTTTCATATATAACCTTTTGGAGAGTGTCATTTTAAAAATCAAGAACATTCAGCTTAACACAGACATACAACCTCTGAGTGAGCAATACTATACTTCACAAATGATACCACACAGACATCAATGCATGCTTACACTGAAATGCAGAGAGAACTGACCTTCTGTTGTAGTCCTGCCCTAACTCTGGGCAAAGGTTAAGGCTCAGTTACAAACTCACCACCTTCACTTCACCCTCTCAAAACAAAGTAAAAATAAAACAATTGGAGTTCTTAAACTATTCAGACTAGGACCTACATGGTGCTACTTGTAAACGGAGGTGATAAATCTTAACATAGTGTAAAACGTAGTACAACCCAACACAGTTTGCATCATGAATTTATCACTGATACTTAACCTAATCTTCTGGGCCCACTTTTGAAAATTAGTGCTACAGAACTGGTGGGAAAAGGCCCAGGCATGTATAGAATGAATTAAGTATTTGAGTTTATGTTAACTAATACTTAACTAATACTAATGAATCTCAATGAATTTATCACTGATACTTAACCTAATCTTCTGGGCCCACTTTTGAAAATTAGTGCTACAGAACTGGTGGGAAAAGGCCCAGGCATGTATAGAATGAATTAAGTATTTGAGTTTATGTTAACTAATACTTAACTAATACTAATGAATCTCAATGAATTTATCACTGATACTTAACCTAATCTTCTGGGCCCACTTTTGAAAATTAGTGCTACAGAACTGGTGGGAAAAGGCCCAAGCATGTATAGAATGAATTCAGTATTTGAGTTTATGTTAACTAATACTTAACTAAAACTTAACTTAACTAATACTAATGAATCTCAAAGACAGCCTGTTGAGTAAGGGCTGCTTACAATCCAATGTCTCATTTATGGCTTTTTAAATAAAATTTGTAACTATCCTTTCAAGGAAGCCTATGTTCTGGGAAGTTCTCTGGAAGTATTGTATTTGAAGTTTCACAGAGAACAGATGATTAAATTCTTTATTCCAGCTGAATTCTTTCTTTCAGCTGAAACGATGTACCATGTCAGGAAATTCATTTAATAGATGTATATAAAGAGCAAGGGAGGTGCCTATAGATTATGCATAATAATGCTACAGGTACATAAAATCTCTCGTCGTTTGGGGTAATGCTTAAAACCTGTCACTCTCAATAACCAATTTTAAAATAACAGGTCATGTAGTTGCCCTTCGTGAATGAAAACGTGAGTTAAAAGTTTCGCTCTTGACGAGTCATTGCACATTACAGAGAGGTACCTCAGTCATTTCAGAGTACATGCAAAAGGCATCGATTTCTGTTCAATGGGTTAGCAAAGTAAAACCATCCTGTCGTGGCATGAAGACAAGACCTAAGTCCAGACAAGTAGTGTTTGTTTGCCATATTCGTGAACAAACCATGACATTCATCCAAAAGCAAGTGCAGTCCATTCTTTTAAAGTTCTTTGGAAAATAAATCCAAAATAGGTAATTTTCTGGCGCGGAACAAGTGCAAAAAGAAGTTTGCCAGCCGTGTGAAAGCAACGCACACACTCGCAGGTTCTGCTGGCTCCAGCGATGCGTGTTCTGGGAACATGAATGCAAATGCCTCCTGGAGGCAGCAGCTGCTGGTGGCACTCGGCTCACCCCTCCTCCGGCAAACCAGTGCTCCGTCAGGCAGCCGGAGGCTGGCTGGCACCTCCTCCTTGGTTCAGGCAAAATTGTATTGAGACTTTTCTTCTCCAGTTTTATAAAAATAAATTTAGACTTTATTCTTCTGTGTAATACTGGCACAAAGGAAAATATTTTCTCACAAAAAGAGTTGGCTTGGGTGGTGTTCTTAAGACAATCATTGCAGTCCCGTTTTCCCCTCTAACCAGGGCTCTCGCCCTCCTACGCTAATGTGCAAAACAAAACAAAACAAAAAATTTTAAAAAATTTAAAAAACCCAGTCCGTACTGTCCCGTAAATCCGCGTCTATCCGTATTTGGCTGCAAGGGAGGAAAGATATTGCTCTGGCTGTAAGTCTACCAAATTGTCACTTTGCATTTCATTCACAAATATTTTCGAAGTTGAATACTGACACATTCATCTGCTGTAATACTGGAAGGTAGCAAAAGTACAGTTCTCAGCCAGTTCTCCTCCCTGGGCCCTGGCCTCCCTCACAGTGTGATTTTGCTGAGCCTGCTGCTCCAACACCCCCGTTTCGCAGTTCTGGCGAGTGTCAGGCTGCAGTGGCTCCTTATTTTCACCTGCCCCTTGACCGAAGCTTTTTTCCGCAGGAGGAAGTCGAAGTTGACGTGGGTGTTCATGGCGTAGAACACGTTGGCGTTGCCTGGGATCACCAGCTCTGCAAAAAGAGGGACCAGAGCAAGTGTTAATTTGCAGTACGTGTTACATACGTGCTGCTGCAGGTAGCAGGAGGACGGGGGACCGAGTGAACAGACTGGGCGGACACAGCCAGGCAGCGCCGGGCCCCCTCCTCGTTCTGCTCAGCCCCTTCAGCCAAAGCTGTGTCGGGTGCTGCCTGCAGCGGCTGCCCACGAGAAAGGGGGAGCAGGGGTGCAGAGGAGAGGAGAGGGAGGCCAAAGCCAGACCCCGTCCAGCCTGGCAGCCACTCCCAGAGGAGGCTGTGCCAAAAGCTCTGTTTGCAGGGCCTGAGGACAGCGATAGGATCGCTGGGGAGGTCGTACCCTGGGGCAGACTGCGCTCAAGGAGAGGGAGCAGCTCTTTTCGGTGGGTAGCTCTGCAGTCGCAGCGCACGTATGAGGGTCCACCTGGCAACCCACGAGCGAGCTCTGCCTGTATAAAGCGATGTGCTGGCAGGCCATGATAAACCATCCCCGCGCACCAGCTATCAAGGGAGTTTGTTCTCACGGGCAGCTGTGACAGCATGTCTGTGGCATTTCTAACGTTGCTTCACATTTCACTCCTTGCTTCAAAATCCAGCAGAACTTTTCAAGCAGTAGCAGAGTTCTGTTTCCCTACCTTTGTGCTCAGAGATGATCTGTACAAGCTCATAATCCTCAGCTGTGTCAGATTCCAGGTTGTGCTTCAACATAGCTCTCTGGATGACAGCAGGAGTTTTGTCTTGGCTAGTTAGCTGGAAAGAGAGAGTTGCAATGAGATTCTGCTTATTCACACTACATAATGATTTAATAATTAGCAAAGGCCTGCTTTTCTGCAGACCACTTGGTCTTCGAAAAGACTTCAGAGAACTGAAAAAATACAATGGGTCAATAACGAAGTAGTGGGTACTGCTGGATAATAAAACATGGTATTTGTGACATTTGGTGGTGGTTTTTAGTTTGAGATGACCGATACTGTACCAGAAGAGACAGCGGTAACTCACAGCATCTGCTCTCCTGAGCAAACACTTTGAGAGATGAGATGTTGTTCTCACTAGCCATAAAAGTCCACATAAATAGCTGCCCCATCTGTTTGCAGACGTCAATTAATCTGCAGTCTCCCGTGCTAAGTACTTGCTTTGACATCCTGCAAAGATTTTTGGCCTTGCAACTGCGTTTACTGTCTGCTGTGAAAGTGCTGTGCATCCGGGGCAGACACAGGGCTCCCTCCAGAGCCTTATGCTGTCAAAAGGAAGATTTGTCTCGCCTGTAGCCGAATTTGTCAGGCCCTTGGGAACAGCCCTTTGCAGTTTGGGGAGGTTGAACTGTTAAAATCGTAAGGTTGCTAAACGTGCCAAGAACTACCCCCAGGCCCCGAGGGACCTGAAGCGTTTGCTCAGCCGCGGAGTCCCTGTCGGGCACCTGAGAGATTGCGTGCAGGGCGAGTCACGTCACCCACGGTCCAGAGTCCCTCCGTGGAACCAGCGTGGAGGGAAACGCCCGAACGCTGGCTGCTGCTGCTCTGGCAACCTTGGCCGCAGAGAGAAGCTGCGTACTTAAAGGGCTCGTCAGTTCCTCGCGTACAGCTCCCTCTTTCCAGAAACCAGGTCCTGGGGAAAGCCTCTCCACTCGGCATGTGGCATCTCGTGTCAGACACACACAAATTCCTAGCTAGAGAAGCAGCAGCTAGTGCTAGCAGAAGGGCAGGAGCAGCAAAGCCTGCACTTGATCAGAATGCTTCACTTTGAACTTTGTGGTAAAATACAAGCTTTAATTTCAAGACCAGAAACTTCCACAAAGATGCTGTTTGTTTTCAAACCTCTCATTCCTACCATGCTCCTCATCTTTTCAATGGTAACTTTCGTCATTTTCCCTTTCGAGCCAGGTTTGATGAGTCGGCTCAGTGAAGAGGTGTGTTCAAAACTAAAAGCACCATTTGTTTTAGGTCACCCTGGATGAAAAGATCACCAGCAATAACGGCATCAGTAATGGCATTGTGCTGTTCCCCACCACTCACCAGGATGCTCTTGTATATATTGCCATTGTTGTCTTCGGTGCTGATCCGGATGATGCAGGTGTCTTTGTTCTGCTGGTTGTAAACAGGAGCTGGTGCTTTTGAGGTAATGGGTGTCACGGAGACAGAGCACTTGTCGTTGGGGGACGGCAAGGGAGGAGATGAGATACATGATGACACCCCCGAGGAAGACGTGTCCATGGAATGGGTGGATGAGCAGGAGGAGGAGGAGGATTCAGAGAGCTACACAACAGAAAGAAAGAAAGAAAGAAAAACACCGTCAGAAACTGGACATTTTGTATGTCTCCGTGTGTCATTCTGAACTTGAGAAAGCAGAAGGCTCATGCAAAACCTCCGTGATCTGCACTCCGTGCAGCAGGCAGGCAGTGGTATTCCTTGCCTCCAGAAAAAGTGAACTTCACTTGATTAATTTCACCATTTTAATGAAAACTTATTTCCAACACGGTGCACCGGGCACCGCGCTGCTTGCTCTGGCCTCTCAGAGCAGGCCTGGAGGTGGCAGCAGATACAACGAACAGAACCGGGTTGTGGGCAAGCAGCCGGGGACTGGGAGCTGCTGGGAAAGAGCAGAGGGCACCGCGGGCAGCGCCGCTCCTGCTCCACTTTACACGAGTGGAAATGCACACACGCCTCCCTGTCTGCCACCTCCCCTTGAATCCTCTTTCCTCGATGGAAACTGCCTCCTTCCTTCCTTCCCCCGCTGCTTGGGGTTTTGCCTTTCTCTTCATCTTCCTTGCTCAAAAACTGCTGAGAGGATCTTCCCTCTCCAACTTGCTTATTGAAATGACTGTAACAATTGCTCCAGCTAAACAGTTTAAACAATATAGTTATATGGATGCCTCTGGGACCTCATGCTTCATTTGGTTTAAGAACAGTACAATTTAATTTAAAATATCCATAAGCTAAACCCCAATATAACACTCTTCAGCAAGACATGCTTAGGACAGGCTTCAACAATACACTTAATGCAATTTAGTTCAAAAGGGAAGAGTCTGCCTGGGGGAAAGACATGCCTGTGGATCCCCCTGTCCGATCCCTTCTGATGGTTTCCTGCCTGTATAGTTTGTCTCTCGGGAAGGCAGTGGCGCACGCCCGGCCCGCCTGCTCTCAGCGGGAACACTTACGGTGTCAGCGTTACGCTCATTTTGCTGCGGGGTGTCCCAGCCACCAGCGTGTGGGGTGTCGGGCTTTGCCTTCTCCGCAAAACAAGGGATTCCGGGCATGCGGGTTCAGTGCCTTCGCATGCGAAGAGCGAGCTGGCGTGCAGGAGGAGGGGCAGCAGCTCCGCACCCCCACCTCCCCATTACACTGAGCCAAGGCAAGGCGTTCCTCGTGGCAGCAGGGAGGTCAAACCCGCAGGGCTGGCAGGCTCCAACCTTCCCTGCCTATCGCTTGGGCAACAGCACGCTGGACACAGCAGCAGGCTGCTGACAGCAGAATAACTTGTCAAACCCAAGATCCTGGAGGAGGAAATGCCTGGCTGTTGCTCTTACTCCTCTCCAGCTGATCCCGTCTCCTGTTTTAGTTGTTTTTGTTTGCGGAGGCTTATAAATCCTCTTGTCCATGTCATGCTAACATCATGTTGCCACGTGCCAAGAGCGAGCGTGATGCTCAGGCTCCTCACCCCACTTCCCACGGGCTCAAAGGTAGAAATGCCGCTAGCCTGTCCCATCCCTCTCAAAAAGCATGAGGAGGGACTGAAAGAAAAATTAACCTTGTGCTTCTCCAGGCCCTCACCTAAACAAAAACCACTGCCAGGCACCACAAGAAAATCTGGTTTCAGGAAAAGAGACCTTCAGTCCGCCTTACGTCTCGGCAACACAGAAGGGTTTGTGCAAAAGTCCTGACTGGCTTGCTTCCATTTTTACACATTTATTTCTAGAGTCTCTCCATTCCACTAAAAGCAATGCTCTAGTCAAGACCAACCGGCTTGGGCAAGTGTCTAGGGCCTGCGGTGTCAACAGTCCCTCACAGGCCATTTGTGCTGGCAACAAGGCACAGATCGTACCTTTTTCTGAGGCTCCTCAGGAGTGCCTATGGGAGTGACGCAGGCGTCTTCAGATTCAGAGTGATTCAGCTCGCACGACGAAACACTGGCCGAGTCCGTGCTTTCACCAGAGCTCCCTCCTGGGGTAGATTTGGGTTGCTCTTTGATGGGTGTGCTATGGGCAATCACCTCAGAGCCTAGGAACAGTCTAGTATAGAAAAGAAAGTATAAAAGCCAGTAAGTGAAAGGAGAACAGAGCTGGGCTGAGCAAAGCTGTCAACTTGGTTCAAAAATCTTACGTATTGCTTTGTTTTCCTATCTTGAGCAGCCTATTGTTTTCATTTCCTCCGTGGTGTTTATACGGTTTGTCAAGGGAGTTTGTTACATGCTAACACAATACCTTCTTGACCCAGCCTACCCACCAGCTGCAAGACCAAAATCACAGCTAATGCCCAAGTACCACAAACGAGACTCCTCTTCGGTCTGTTAAATTTTCAGACTCCCTTGCTAGGAAACGATTGATCGTAAACCTGATGCGTTTACAAACCAGGGGACGAGGAGCAAATTAGAGGCATGGCAGCTGGCTCCACCTTAGACGCTCCTGCACGCTGCTCTCACGCCCTGGTCCCTCTGACACAAGGCAGCTCAAGATCTCCTCGGTCGCCATGAGTAAATGAAACGGTGCGCGAGAGGTAATGCATGGCCATGCACCAAGCAAAGGTCTTCAGAAAGTAAATTCATCCCGCTGCAAATTCTTCCATTCAATAAAGGTGCCATAGATACCAGTTTCTCTTTAAGAGTCTGAAGGGAGATGTACGCAATGAGGAGATCACAAGAAACGGTAAATTACAGGCTCTCCCTCGCCGAGACTCATTTCTAAATGCAGGTCAAGTAAATTTAAAGGAGCGTCAAAGGAAACAAACTTGTATAATACATAGAGAAGCAAGGTGAATTAGATGCTATGTCAGCATGCAGTTAATGGCTTAAAACAATTTAGAGAGGTGTCACTCGCTGTTGCCGGGATGAATTATGCCAGTCTTTAGTACAGTATTAATTTGCAAAATACACTCAGAGTGCAGATGAAACAATTGTTCAGACTGCAGTGCAAGCTCAGTACAGTAAATTACAATACTGCAGCACTGAAATGCAGTCAGAAACGGGAGGATAAAGCCTGAGCTCTGCAGCGGCAGTTCTTACGCCCAGCCTAGGCACGCGCCAAGGCAGACACAAATGAGAGGCCACCGAGAGTTCAGGCACTGTCATCTTCAAAGCTCACGTTCTCATAACATATCACTCAGATGGACTAATCGAAACACTTTCCAAACAGCTGCCTGGATTTTTTTTTTTTTTTTTGTGTATCACAACGCAAAACTCTAGATTGAAAACATCTATTCTTTCAGACCCTAACCTGCAGTAGCGCCGATGTGAATGGTTACTGACTGTTCTGGGGAAACTAGGTACAAGAACCAAGCAGGAAAGGACAGTGAAGAGCTGACAGTGCTGTTAAATTCATCGTTTTTCCCCCCTCATCTCAATCATGCCGCTGGTACGTGGGAGTCCCTTCATACATCCTCTCGCATCGGTTTGAATTTCTCACCTTTAAGATATTTTTACTGCAGTCCTTGATCTCTGCTTTCATTCCCTGCAGCTTTCCCCGAATTCCTGCTAGTCTGTTGTTTCCCGTGTCTGCTTAGCTGCACGCCCCTGTTCTCCACCCACCTCCTGTTTGAATCTTTGCGGTATTAGACTAAATTGGACCACGTCCCCATGATTTTTTTCCTTCTCTAACTTGAAGACAGTTAAGCAGATTGTTTGGATTATCAAATGCCTTTTTGCTAACCTTAATTTTCATATTAAAATCCTGCAAGGAGTTTTTGCGTGTATATAGCAAGTTAGACTAATAACAGGTCAGACTTTATCCTCGTTTACTCTGTTTTGCTACTTCCCTGCATTCAGGGAAGTTATTACACAATAAGATACTGAATTTATAATCCAGCACTAAAATTGTTGTTTTTTCTGACACCTTAGGAAGGCTTGTTTGTGTCTAATCTCTTTCATCATTAATAATCCTCATGACTACTTGTAACAATAGAAAGGGACAGCTTCAGACAGAAGTATGCATTTCTAGCTGATGGCGTCTCTTTAAAGTCATGCAGTGGTCTGGATCCCCAGCCAGGTTTTTCAGCTGGTGAAATGAGTGCTGCCTGTTGGATTTATTCAGCTTCATATTAACACACCAAATGCCCTTTGCCCCGTCGTACTCACAGGCTGAACCTCTTCACCATGCTTTTCCGAGATTTCGGCGATGTGGTGCTAGTGTCAGCAGCTGCTTCAACCTCACGTGAAAGGCTGTAACTGCAGAACAGAGGCCACTGGGTTAATTTGTACAGACAATGCTATTAGTTATATATCTCAAAGTAGCAATATTCAAGAAATTCGAGAAACCTTCAGTTATTCCCACTTCACAGAAGGTTACAACCCCACAAAGAGGAATGTAGCTCTGTCCACATTTTACCATGGTGAAGGGGGTATTTCACTTTTTATAATAGTTTTAAAAATTAGTGCTTTTTTGGGTGACATCATTTTATTTAAAAAAAAATCAAGAAAATACGTAATAAATAACATGAATCTTGGATAAGATGACTTTTTTTTTTTACTATGACTCAGTACAATGCAGTATGTATCTGTGCGTACACTCGTAGTGCAGCAGAGTGGTGTTCAAATACCTAGTGGAGATATTAAAATGCTGTAAATAAATGGTCTTGGGTTGGTGCAGCAGCACATGCAGTAGCACAGAACTCAGCAGGGTTGCAAAACCCACCCCAAACACCCAGGAGACATTTATCTGGTGAGTGCTCGGCGCTGTGTTGCCTTGGCTACCTGCTGCCCGCATCCACCAGCCGAACATCTTGACATCCCTTAGGATCGACTTCTGAGCATGTGTCTGGGCGTACAGACAGCCCAGACACAACAGGCTGTACTATTTCAAAATCAGAAGCCTGATTTCCAATCTCAAAACTAAGCCCTGCTAAGTGTTGAACAGGTTTTCTACAGCTGTTTAGCAGAAGGCAGATAGATTCCCACTCTCCTCGAGCAGCAGTGTGTGGCCGTTCCTGTAAGAGGGTCGCTGAAGGCTGACATAACCTACCTGCAGCTGGGTGTGGGGTAAGAAAAGCCTGCTTTGCCAGCTGGACTGAGAACCTACCTCTCCTCGTCAGTTAAATGCTCCTGTCTCCTGAACCACTGAATGAATTTTTGGTCTGGTGTGATGCAATAGCTGTTACATGCAGATTGCAAGAGCTTAATTTGGGCAATTACTTCAAATTCCTAGGAAAAGAATAATAAAATAGGAGTTCTAATTAGAAAACAAGATAAAGCCAAATTCATTCACATACTAAATCCATGCAACAACAGGTCCAGGGCAAACTTAGTTTGACCTAAAGTTCAGCTTCAGTTGAGTGACTATTCCAAGAACCAGTTTTTGAAACAATGAAGTATTTTATTTTTTCTTTCCCCCAGCATCCGTAGCGTGCATTGAAACGTGAACATTTTATCAGACACGCACAATTAGAAGACAAACACAAGGAAACGTACTTCACCATAGAGCTTTTCCCCCCCGCCCAAGTACTAAACGAAGTGTAATGCCGGTGCAAACCCACCGAACGGCAGCACTGCTGGTTGTTCCTCTAGGAACAAGGGTTGCAAAGGGTCACAAATTCTTCAGATCACCCTACCCGCTCACCCCTCCGCTGGCCAGACCAGCTCCGAGAGAATAATCGTGCTCTGTCCTTAGGTGGTTCTTAGGCAGCAAGTAAGGGTAATAATTAGGGGTGCCTGCGATGGGGCGATGAAAGCGGAGAGTCTGAGCCTCCCCGGCTTTGCATGTCATGCGCTCGCAGCAAAGGAACTTAAAACGCTGCCCTTAATACATGTGACAAGAATGCGCTGCTCTTCTGTAACTCCACTCGCATACACAATTTGCCAACATAATTCTTAAAAACCCCTTGTCTTAGAGCAGGTTATAGAATCAGGATGCAGGAATGGAGCCGAGTATGGTTCGGAGGGCAGCTTTGCTGCTGGTTTGTATGAAGCTGGACTGATGACCACGGAGAAGCTCGTGTGTCGCGTTATTGGTATCTGGAGCCATGGAGTTATACATACAAGGCAAGTTCAAGAAGTGGTTTGTAGAGTGCAGTTAAGGGAAGGAAATGGCTCCATCACAGCCAAATTCAAGTCTGCTTTCAGACCCCAGAACGGAGATTGGGCACCACTTCATTCAGACAGATGTAACCCTGGTACCTTTACTCCTACGTAGCGTTACTATCTCTGACCAACAAGGATCAGGCTGAAAGGAAAGACTGATAGCATTTATTTCTCAGCCCGTGTTCCTACTTCGCTCTCGGAAGCCTTTTACCTACAGAGTTTACTGCAGCAGAAGGAAGGTATTTACAAACTGTATCTTGTGGAAAGCAAAGGTCTCGTGCCACCGTGTCTGATTCAACACATAGGACATACCCATGTGATGTGTTCCCACGAACATCACGAGGGAATGTGCATGCCCCAGATGTAACCCCCATGGAAGTAAGTGGCCTGCAGCTCCTCTTCCCCTGTTGCACACCTCTAAAAAGTAGGTTCTCTTCCTGCACCACCCCACACAGTTTGGTAGAGGCTTACAGTGTTTCAGAGATCCAGTCTTTCCTCGGGAACTGGCATTAAAATTGGCAGCTATTGTATATGCCTAAGCAAATGGCCTCACCAAGGGAACGGTCTAAGGGGGGCATCAGTAAACTAAAAATAACAGAACATTCAACTTACCCTTCTCCTCTTCTCAAAATTTATCAGGCCACCCTGTTGGAAGGAAAGAGAAGGCATCAGAGTGGAAGAGCACATGCTCAGTTGAATTTAATCACAAACAGGATGAAATAGCAAGGCTAATGTAAAGCACAGACCTGCCCTGAGCAAGGCCCTTCTAAAAATACCTGTTTCCAGATCTGGTGAAAACCACAGCGCCCATCTATCTGAGCCTCCAAAGGATATCTGTCCTCATGACCTAACTGGCAATCTGCCCAAGAAGAAAAGCCCAGTGCAAGAATGCTCCTAAAAGCTGTGTCGCGATCAGGTCTGAAGAACGCTAGCGGCATTTTGCATGCAAGGTACAAACCGGGCTTTTGCCTGCGCTGTGAGTTTAGCCGTGTTCCCAGCGCGCTGCAGAAACACCGGCTGAACACAAAGCGTGGAAAGAAGGGAGAGTGCCAAAAAGAAAATGGATATATAGCGACTTTACACAGGCCTGCTTTAGTGCCGTTCTGCAAAACAACCAACCACCAAACCAACCAGCAACCGCCCCCAGCCCAGGGAGGAGCGTAGTTGCCCATTCTTATCAAATATCAGCACCGGCACAACGAGGGCCGGACGCCTGCAGCGTGGCTCCTCGGGCGTCTGCTTTAATGGGGCCAATTTTCAAAGGTGTTTGAAAACCTTTAAAACAAACACCTTTGAAAAATCAGCCCTATCCTCAGTCTCAAACGACCAGACTCTCCTGCAATCCTTTTTTCCCTTCCTATGCTAGATTGGTTCCCTCTGCTTGTTCAACTAAAGAGAAAAGAAAAAAACAAGTCTTTAATTGCTTTAGGGCTCAGGCACGTCTGAGTCAATACTGAAGCACTTCAGTGATCAGTCTGGAGAGCTGAACCTGTGATTCTATGTATTTTACCAATTATTCACAGAAGTCTTTAAAATGATGTTTTCAGAACAATAAAACAGAATGGAATTCCTATTTTCCTCACATTTTCTAACCTAAGGAAACAAGACAAAATACAATGCTAAGCTTATTCCTTGAAGATAACTACACTGAAATTCACACAAGATTCTTGTTGCTAATAAAAGTGCATTATTGCCTCCTTTTTTTTGAAAACAGATTCCTCCATTTTTAAAAGCTGCACAAGAACCCAATAGAAGATGCAGGAACAGACACACTCAGTGCCAGGAAAGCAGGAAGGATGTTTAGGATTCAGAAATTTTCCCCAAATTACCTCGATATAGTCCTGAAGGGCTGTGTCAAGCATGATGAGATCAGTGAGGAAGGTACCAAGATAAGGTACCGTGCCTTGCATTACTCCCTGCAAATGATCGGAGCAATGTTGGATTAATTGACTGACAAATGGTAATAATCAGAATGCTAGAATAACTCCTGTGTAGGAAAATGAAATAAAAGTAGTCTGCTTAACCAAATAGTGGTTTTGGTTAATTATGTTCTGTATTGGAAAATTATGTTTTCTTTCATTACATCATCCTCAGTATCTAATCTAGAATTGAAATCAAATTCTAATGAGAGCGGGATGCTCTCACAGATACTGCCAAGCGGTTTTACATTACAATTTTACCACCATACACTGATTTCTAACAGCGGGTCACCAGGAAACCCTGCTTGTGGAAGAAGCACTAAGGACCAGGGCCAGGGTCCCTCGGTTACCTGCTACAAGAGTCCCGGCTAGCCTGTATAAGCAGTTTCTCTCTCTGCTTCACTCCAGTGGATTTTTACTTAGTGATGTTGTTATACCATGGGACAGTCAAGTCTAACCAAGTCACAGTTTTTTCCCCTCCAAGAAGTGACCATCTTCCCCAGCTATTCACTGCATTTTGGTAATAATTATTTAAATTTTAAACTTTCTAGACTGCTAGCAGTTGTAGAGTTCAGGCTGTTTCTACACTTGTGAAGGAAGTGCTTGTTTCTATCATGCAAAAAAATCCATATTTTTTCCAGTCAAACTAAAAGACAAACAAAAAAATCATATTCAGCACTTTTGCCTGCCTATCCCAGATTTCTCTCCCCTTGTCCTTTTAAATTTTTGCCAACTTGGAGACAAAAGCCATTTTCACCAGCAGACTGGAAACCGGACACATTTTACAAAGCAATCTCTGTAAAAGCCTGTGCAATTTTCAAGTTGGTATGTCAGAAGCTTCATGAACTTGTTCAAAAGTAAATAAGATTTCTCTTTTGGACAGAGCTAATGTCACAAGAATTCCAGTATTTACATTACATATTTTATTACTACATGAAAATTGTGTTGCTTTCCCTGTATTTCTCTCTACAGGGTAACAAGAGTAGTTAATGGAATTCTTTCTTGTAGGACAGAAACAAGGCAGTTGAAGATGATGAATACATGTTTATACTCATCAATCATTTATTACCCTTTTATATGACAGGTTTAGCACATTTCTGGAAAACTTGAAGCTAAGGCCAAGCCCTCGGCTCAGCGTCCATCCCAAACAGCTGCGTGGGTTGTGAGGCGCATGCAAGTGGGCACGTGAGCAGCAAGCCCGTACACCCACCGATCCCCTTGCAGGGGACGGGGAAGATTGGCAGAGCAGGGGACATGGCATGGCCCCTACGTACGTCCACCGAATCCTGAAATCTTTGAGCCTCCTCAGCGTCAGAGCACGGAACGCACTGGCTATGCCGACGCTCGGCACACCCGTTTCCTCCAGCATTTCAGTACACAGACGGGTGTTACTGGAGCCAAAAGGACAGCTGAATCGCGCTAAAAACCATAGCCGTTACCGCCTGGCAGCTCAGCATGGGCCATACAGCTTGGGCTGAGAGCAGCACGAATCCCACTTTGTCAGTTTTTATATATACAGATGCATGCATATGTGGAATTGTCTCCCTATACACACACACTATTATACACACACATAGTATTACCTGCTTACTGTGATCCACGGCATAAGGGAAATACAGCTTTGGGCGTATATTTACAGGGACAAACATTCTGCCTGCATATGCAGTCTAAGCCTTTCGGTTCATTTGCTTTGTATCAGCTCATCAATAAGCACTGATGCAATTGTTTTGCTCGACAGAGAACACATTCAAGAGCATTACCTAGCGCACACTCGCTTTACCTTTCTAGATTTTGCTGCTTATATAATTCACCAATTAGCGTTAATCATGTTACCAGTTCAAAAAGGGTAGGAAAGGGAGCCCAAACGCACCATATCTTTTTGAAGTTGCAGTCGCCTCTGTGTCCTTTTCTGATTTTCTTTCACACTGCTGTCCAGATTCGCAAATTTGGATGTTCCTTCCTGTAAAAGGCAATTAATGGAGGAGCTAAGTGGTAAGCTGGCAACTACATTCGTGTAAAATAATTGCAAATACATTTAACTAGGCAAACTAGGCCAGCAAAAATATTTGCTGTGCAGGTACCTGCATGTATACGTGCATGCGCTAATTTTCTGGGACTCGTACACTGATTCGGAATTTTGGGCAAAATCCCACAAGATGGCCATATGGGAATTTTTCTGCAAAATAGCTCTCCTCTGGCCAAAGCTAAATGCTGCTGAAAATCTCCTGAGAGTTTAAATCAGGGAACCTTAGATATACTTCAGGTGTCCAGATGCTTCTCTGAACTCTATCCTGAAACTCTTGACCTCAGGATTTCTATTTAATTTCTGAATTAGGAATGCTACGAGTAAACATATCTATTTTATGTAATGCTTTGTTGTTTTTCTTATGCCACAACATAGAGATCCAGCAACTACGCTCTGTGGCTTATTGACTAATCCAAAACCACGCAGGAAATGGAATTAATAGGTTTTCATCTCCACAATCCAAGCTTTCCTATGAATGGATGAGCTATTTCACAATGGATCTGTAGCCTTTATTTCCCTGGATCCATACAGGATGCTGGGAGTTGCTGTTATTTTTTCCAGTGGCCGGATAGATGGAGCATGAATCATTATCAATGTCTTTTTAAGAGGCACAAAACAACAGCCTGCACTTGTAAAGATCTTCTCTTTACAGTGTTTACTTCTCTCCGTCACAGTTAATGGACGGAACACTCAAATTCTGTATCTCCTTCCTTGGCTGAAAAACGGGAGCAAATGAAAAAGGAACGCGGTCTCAGTGTCTTCAAGCTACTGAAAGGTAAACTCCATATTCTCCAACAGCAGCCGGTGGGCAGGCACAGAAGCTAGAACTGCAGCTCGCAGCAGAGCCGTTGTTTGGGGAGGAGAGAACACAGTGCTCCCTCTCCGCGCCCGCCAACCTGTTTCATATGGCATTTTGTCCGCTCTACGCTTAAAATTTGCAGGATGGGTAGGCAAGGTCAAACACTGCTTCCCTAGAGAGACTGTTTATAGTGAAAGAAAACAAAGACTTGAATATTCAGTGGACATTAATCCTCCAATCGTTACAAAACGGTCCAAGATGAGAAGTAGGAGAGAGGTTCTAGCTATTCTGTGGAATTTTTCTCCTCTCGCTGCATTCAAAATGTTTTGCAAATCTACTTACAGCAGCTGGAGAGGGTGATTTGTTGGGAGCCAGAAGGTCTGGGCTCAGATTGAGCTGTTGTTTTCTCTTTTAATATTTAGTTAAATAAGCTATTCTGACCACACATTTTCCCCTCTACACTTACTATTGTCTCACCTGCTTTAAAATTTAGCTACAGATGTTGATAAACGGATGATAAAAAAACAGACAGGTTTGAGTGTGCTCACCCATCATTCTTGAGCAAAACACGGTGTCTCAAATACCAAGGCAAAGGGGTAAGGTACAAATGCCAGACAGACTGGACAGAACTGCCAAAAACTAAACTGTTTAGCCAGTTTATAGAAACTTTTTTATGTAAACAGAAAAAAACCTGCCACAAACATTCCTTAGTTTCTGCTGAATATAACCTTTCCCTCTATTCTTCCTCACTCCTTTCAAGCTCCCGAGCTCATTGGGGTTCGCCCAGGAGAGTGCACAAGTCAAACTGTTTCAGACAGAGCCTGCTTTGTTGTCCATCTGGCCACACACAGAGCAGGAAGCCTGTTCCTTCAAAATTCCCAACCCTGTTTTCTAGTTCCAAGAAAGGTATGGGATAGTTGGATAAACATCTTGGTTTAATTCCTCGGCTGAAGCTAAGTGGCATTGTTCCAGCGAAGTCAAAAGCACTGCAGTGGTGCGAGCCCGTTGAGAATCGCGTTTGGAGCTGCTCTGTGCTCAGCAGCGCAAACCGGAGCCTCTCCAGGTCTGCCCAGAGGGTGCCCAAGGGCTCACGCTCTGTGCGGAGCCCTGTAAAGCCAAAGCGCTCATTTGTTAACTCATCTCGGTGAAATTGCACCGTGCAGCGCCTCTTCACTCCAGCTGTGGCTCCAAGTGCTGTCGCAGGTGCGGCACGGTGCGCACAGCTATTCTTGAGCTAGACGTCACCGTGCCCGAGGGAGCGTTACCAGTTACCTAACTACAGCAGCGTGACATTCAACTTGAGAGGTTCCAAGGGGTCCTGAGCTGCTGTCTTGTGAGCCCACACAGAATGTGTGCTGCTGCAGCCTGCTGCATGTGGGTATCCAAGCTCAACAGGCTAATGCTCGTGTAGGTTCTTTTCAGGAACACTGAAATCACCTCTCATCCAACAGAAAAGCACAGGTTTTACAGACCTGTCTTCCCTGAAGCACCACATAGAGTAGGTCAGAGAGAAATGAGCTTTGTCAGCTGATTAGAAAAAGGGCTAAACTCGGCTTTGATTGAGTTCACAAGCCTTGCAAATCTAATTCTCACCTTCATTAGCAGCTCCCTAGTTGTCAAATAATTGTCATGGTCTGAGAAGATATCAGACAGTTCTTCGAACATCAGCATTATGTCCCTGTACAGGAAAAGATTAAATCATTTAGGTTATTAGTAAGGACTCCAAATCAGACCACTTTACTATTTTTTCCTCATGACTCATTAACAATTGCACATATAAAAGATAACACCACCAAAAAGCATCCAGTGAGATGCTGCACATCTACTAGGAACCTTCCTGGGATCTTCTGGTGCTCCCAGTGAGGTCAGGCCTTATTTGACAGCATCACAAAGAAATGCCGTCGTATGCAGACCCTGAGCAGAGTTTTCAGTCACACCGCCGAGTATCAGGTTGTCATAAGAAAGTGGGTAAATGGATACAAGGAAACAGAAAAATAGCTGAGAGAGGTATCCCAAGTACGTCATTTTTGCCTTGTTCCATGCACTCTGGAAAGATGGAAGCGTGTAAGTGTACGAGTCCTTTTCTATTACCCAACATATAAACACAAGATGGCAATATTTTGATCAGGAACAGGAACATGGGGTAGCGGAAGGAAAGACCCACCTCTCTCTAGGGGAAATGCAGAAGTATACCGCATGGCAGAATGACATTTTGATTTGTTTATCAAAGGCAAAGGAAAGAACTCTATTCTTCCCAAATTGAACGAGCGGAACATCATCTTTCCCACACAGAGATTTCGGGTCTCTCTTCGGCATGCAGTAAATATGCCAGTTGCACAGAAAGGTATTCCCCCGTAAGAAATACTGTCTTCAATATAGATTTGGATTTTGTAGTTTGGGGATATATTCTAAGGAAATGTCAGGACCAGGAGAGGGTTTGTAGCAACCTGGACCTCCTCCAACTTCATGGGAGAGAAGACAACAGGCAAGTATCATGTTGCCCTTTTTCTGACCTTCTAAGAGTGGTGTGCCTGAGCTGGGTGAGTAGGGAGTCCCACAGTTTTTCAGAATAGATTGTGGAAGATCCAGTACGCTGTAAAGGACAGAAGAGACCCAGTATCCCTGAAGGTGGGTTGTCCCCTCAGTATGAAAGAGGAGCTCACAGTGGTCAGACCCAAAAAAAAGCGGTCTGAGTCTCACAGGAATGAGAGGTTCTTCTAAGAGAACAGACATCCATGAAGGAGCAGAATAGGAAGACTGAGAAGAACAAGATGACGTGAAAGAGCAGTGAGATTTTTGCCTTTGTTGAGGACTAGCCACAGGAGCAGAGGGGGAGGCTTACTTTGGAACACACGTCCAGGTCTTCTTTAGCCGATAGATGGAGTTGGACTGCAGTGCTGAAATGATGGCCCTCAAGGAGGAAAAATTCTTCAGGATCCTACATTCCTGTGAAAGGAGCGGTTAGAAATACAGGAGCATTAAATGTCAGCATTACAAATACGTTAGTGCTCTTGTGTTTGACCGATGTCATGCTTGCTACACATTCTCACTGCTAAGCAGGCAGCTGTACAAATACTGAGCATCAAAAATATCACTCCCCCCTCCAGCCACCAAACACTTTATGGGCTTTGGCACTTCTATCTTGTTTTCCTCACTTTCATGTATTTGTGGTGATGTTGCAGTGTTACAGCTTCCAGTTCTCTTAGTAAAAATAAAAGTGGAACTGAGTCCATGAAGCCAGGCTAAAAAGCACAAATGTTACACTTCTTAAAAAGGTCTTTATAGTTACCAATCCCTTTTACCCTTTAGGGTAAAAACCAGGCTTTGCCTTTGTGTATGTGGTATTTAAAATGTAAACCCTCAATCATCTAAGTGTCAATTAAAAATAAAGACATGCAAAGGAATAACCTGTTATTCAAGTATGTGCACACTGTTAAAGAGAAAAACCTCCTGAGCTTTTCCAGAGTTGGGATCAAATCCTAACAGAGAGACTGGTTCACAGACATTTCTTATGCAGCTTCTCTGTGGCAAAAAGCTTTGATGGAAAAGGATACTGAAAAACTTAATTCTCAAAAAAAATAGCACAGATTCCTGGTAAAGCAGACGAAAGCAAGGGAGCAGCGGGGAAGCCTGGCCTGTGATTCGTCAAGGAACTCCTGTGAATCTGTTGGTGGCTCATGAACTAGAGCGTGGGCACCACAGACTTAAGAAACTCTTGCAAATACAAGCTCTCAAACAGGTGTCTGTACATGGAAATTAAGCAGACAAAACACACGCCAATTTGACTACAATTCCACTTCTGCAAATCTTTGTGGGGCTGGTTATTACACCAATAATGCTGATTATGTAAAGGATCCTTATGGTGAAAATAGACAATCACTTATTTCCTTTGTAGGACTGAACAAATGTAAAACAACCTTAGCATAAACCAAAGTCAGAACTTAATATATCAGCAACTCTGTGAGTTGCATTAAAATTGACTGAACAACTCAGGGAAGTATATTTACTCCCGTTTATTTACCTAAAAAAACCCCTTATCTCTGTGCAACTAGGGAGGCTACATTTAACAAAGCGTGGCTTAAGAAGACAGAGTGGGCAGACAGCACTTGAAGCAGGTTGGCAGTTAGGCTAGATAAAGTCCAAGATCATGGGGTAGGACACACAAGACTCGAAAGCTATTTTTGCATGGTTTGGGGCCAAAGAAGCCACATAACGGCTCTTCGTCAGAGCCTGACACATTTGAGGAGGAGATCCTCCTTTCTTTATGTTCAACTTGAAATTCAGGCTGGGGAAAACATAGATTTAGAGGCACAAATTCTTAGCATTTCTTTTTTTTTTTTCCAATACAACAGGAGTTGGGACTATAAGACCCAGTTTGGAACCATCTTGACTTAATTGCACATTGCATAATTTAAAGCACATTAGGAATTCAGTATTGGACTTCGTGTTCTCAATGACTTAACTGACTGCAGACTAAACTTTAGCAAGCTTTCATTTGTATATAAGAAGAATTTCTAAGGCTGCTTTGAATAACTTTGTTTCATACTGTGTCCTTCACAAGGGGAAAACCAGAAAGAATCCTGTGCAGAAGCAACTTTGATTTTAAAAAAATTAAGCATAACAGGATATTAATAATTTAATTTTTACTTTTTATTTTTAAATAAAATATTGTGTGAGTGAAATTGGCTGCTCCTGCTCAGGAACCTTAGATCTAGGTGGAGCAGAGAGGGCTGGCGGCTAGAAAAAGCATTCAGTTTATCTTGTAAACCAAGAAACTGGATCCAAAAGTCACAAACAGATAACAAATGTGGAACTCCATGCTGCTAATTTACAAAGTTAGCTGTCAGTGAATAACTGCACTTTAATGAGTGGATTATTTTCTAATTCAGGCATCTAACTATTCAAAACACTCATTTGCATGCACAAAGCAAGGAACTTTCTTCAGAAGTGGGCAGCTAAGTATATATGCAACTAGCTGTTCTACATGTGCAATTATTTTGTAGAGCGTGCACATGCATTTTTCATATGCTTAGCTAAGATCGGAGTATTTAATTATGTGTATGAATCAAGTAAAGGGAGAAGCACTGAATCGAGACGTGGAGAACAAACTGCTCCATCCATAGAACAAGTACGATGAGTGTGGTGCCTCTCCTGGCCTCCCTGCTGACCCGTGATGAGGGGGAAGCTGCCTCGTACTTGCTCACCCAGACCGCAGACCAGTCTGCCCCATAAGGGCTCCTTTAACTGGTATCCTCTGCAACTTAACGATCTGTGCACAGAAAATAGGCATCAAACTTCCTATTCCATTCACACGGGCTATAAAGCAGCCGTTGGATGATAACAAAACCGAGTTGCCCTAAGTGTCAAAAGAGAGGTGAACGACTGCTTCCCCATACCAGCTTCCTGAACCATGCAGTTGCCAGAGCTTGGGTGCCAGGACTAACAATACTGCCTGGGGAAGCACAGAAGTGCATTGTCAAGGTTGGAAAGCCTCTGTTTGGCTTGAGCTTTTTATGAGTGCTTATTTTGTATAGCTCGGAAAGAATCCACGTGATTCTTAGAACAAAAGTCAACACACGTCCATATGAAAGTGCTTTAAATGTTCTCTTCAAAAGAGAGATCTAGTTTACTGCCAACTGCCCAGTGCTCTGAGGGGAGTTAAAAAGGTTAGAGTAAAATACTAAAGATAAAATCTAAGAAATGAGCTACCTAGAGTTACGTAAAGAAGGCGTGCAAAACCCTTTCACACAAAAATTAAGAAACACACAATCTGCTACAAGACAAAGGAATTGAAGCAAAGAGTAAAAACGTGTGAGAGAAACGTGTCAGACAATGATAAAGCAGAAAGGTGAGAACATGAGATTGGCACCGTATTGGTACTTTACTTATTTTTTTTCTGGTCACTGCTTGCACCTCTCATCCCCTCTAAACCCAGCTGGTTTGGATACCTGATGTAAACCATGAATAACTTTGTAGGCAAATGACTTTTCAGCCTCAGTAATTTTTCAAAACAAAAGAGTACAAACAATAATTTCATTTTCCCATGTTAAAGAGGCTACTGCTTCCTAGAAGTAAGTTAGCTTTGTCTGCACTTACTTAAAACCTTGTATTTACTTTCATATGCACACACATATATATATAAATGTATGAAAACACAGTCATGCTGTCTTCCACCATATCTGATTTCAACTCTGATGGTGTTCATAGACGCAGGAGAGGGAGCATGATGCTCACTGACCGAACATGAACAGCCAAAGGCAGGTAAGTGCAAAGCTTATTCCCACAGTGCCGCTGCCTGCACCACTGCCAGTCCTCCTCCTTTCTTGTTAAACTTTACTCTGAAAACAAGTCTAACCTTTGGATGGTATCAACCATCACTTCACTTCCTGCACTGATACGAGCAGTATTTTCTTCCTAGGGAAGTGACTGGTTGAATTTATACCTATCTCACGGTAAGGGTTACATTATCAAGTATATGGCACTCCCCATCTGAAAAAGACACAGTATCTGCCTCACCCATTAATTAACTCCCAACCCTGTGAAGAGACAGGCATCAAGCCCATTTCCATCGTGGGGAAGGAAATAAGGAGAGAAAGGGCAATACTTCATCTATTACAAAGAAAGGCAGTCAAAAACAGAAAGAATTAGAGCTAGGACGTTCACTGGCCTGGGACCAACGCATACAACCCCTTTCTCCCCTCCCACCTCCCTCATTCCAACGCTCCCGCACAAGGAATATTAAACAGTCTAAAATAAATGCTTTACATGTGCAATATGAATCCACTTCTCAATGATTTTGGCTCTTTGCTGTGTTTTGAGTTCTTTGCTCTTCAGGATAGTGCTGACAACACATTTGGTAACTGCATTGAACTGAGAGATGGTGGCTCTGATGGTAGGTACCAGGTGCTTGTTTTCTTTCTTATCCCTTCGAGACCAAATGCATCCCAAACAGTGGTAGGGAACAACTTTCTTAAAGAGTTCCTAGAGTGAAATAGAGGTTTGTAAGTCAGCAGGATTGTCCACGGGAAGAAATGCGTGTTTAGAATACAAATATGGTATTAAAAGGTAAATATTCGTTTTCTCTTAGTTTGAAATATACACTTTGGCGTACACTTTATAGACTTGATTCCCTAAACCAACTATCAGCTAAATAGTCCTGGGAAAATAAGAGACACCTTTATATCAGTTGCTTAACCAAGGGGAAAAAATTTTTATATAATGATATTTTGAAGGAGATTGATATAGACAAACCAAATCAGAGCACTACAGTTAAGAGTACCCATACATCTTTAGGTCAGATAGCAATATAGTAAAAAAAGTGCTATTTCTCAGGTATCAAATATTAAACTTTGCAAAAAAGGCTACACAGTATATAGTCACAATTTAAAAAAACAAACAAACAAAAAACAACAAACAACCAAACCTTCAGAATGACTGAGGGAAAAAGTCCAGTGAATGGAGCAAGTTTGGATAACCAAGCAGAGCTGTGTTCTATGTCCCAACAACAAACCTGTTCTGGAACACTATACTTATATTGACATAACTTTAAAAAAAAAAATTTAGAAGCCCAGCACTATTTCCTCTAGCATTTCAAGCAGTACATATATTCTACATACCGCATCCATGTATGTCAACTGTTCTGCCACAAGGTCTTCTTGGAAAAAAGAGAATTCTTCTGGACTGCTGATCTCCAGTTCCTCTTCATCATATAGGTTAGAGGGGGAAGTGCTATGGAACCCATCTGTCCAGGATGGAAAACACAACTTAGTATTATACAGCAAACAGTGAATCAAAGCAGATGTTCTTTCATTTTAAAACATCAATGTATATATTATAGCAGAACACCTAAAGGGTCCTGCCTGATATAATGGCCCCATTGTGCTGCATATTTTCGTGAGAAAGATGATGACCAGGAGATTAAATTGTCAAAGAAAAGGTGGAAGAAAAAGAAATAGAGGTAGAACTGAGCTGTTCAGGGTCTCTTAGCTGAGAAGTGGCTTAAGCTATTCGCTAACCATTCTTCTGAAAGAAAAAACACCACCACCACCCCCTAAGAAAAATTCCTTGTTAACATTGCAGAACTTTGTTAATTTACTTTTCAGTTTTTATGCATTTTATAATCTAAAAAAAAAAAAAAAACAAACAGCAAAGGGATGAGACTGCAATTATATCCCCAAAATATTGCACTAGGAATGCTCTTATATCCAGATTTCATCTCCCATGTGTGGAAATAAAAGGAGGTACCAGACTTTCTTGGCACCATTTGTGCCTTCACAGAGCTACACGGACTACATTATTCCAGCATCCCTCACCTTCTCTCTGTGGGAATTCTCCCCAGAAAAGGGAATACAGTGAGCACCTACAGCATTCAGCTGAATGCTGCTTCTAAATTTGCACTGTGAAGGGGTGGAAGAGGAGAGCTGCCCTCATCGAGGGACCTGATCCAGTGCCGAAGGGAAGGGTTTTCACAGATGTTCCCATGTCACCTTTTGGTTCCCACAGGTTGGGAACAAAGCCACATTAAAACACAAAGAAATATGCCCTTGTTTCCCATGGTAGAGGAGGAAGTCAAACAGAAAATCCCTGAAAATAAATCCTCTTCCTAATCCCTTTTACTTTAAGGCGACAGTAACTCCAAAAGGGAGAAAAAAAATGGACTTGTTGAAGACTAACAACAAAAGTACTGACTTTACTACTAGAGAAATCTCATTAACAGAAACAAGCAGTGCATTTCAGAGTATGTTATGCAATTCTTCATATCCAGTTAAAGCAGAACGGACGTTAAAGCAACACAAGCAGATAAAGAGATACTTCATCATTGTTTTTTGAAATACTTCATTTTTCCTTTCTTTATGAATTAGCAAAACCTAATCATCAATGTAAATTCCTACAGTTTTGATGTAACAAATTATAACTACAGGCTGTATCCAGATTTCCATCTGTACGTTCCAATTGCACAATTTATTGACAGAGCTAAGTGCGATAAACGGAGACCTCTGTTCCAGCATTATTTTTCTGTGGCTGTTTTGTAACAATACCCATAATTAAATGGACTTTTACTGAACTGTTATGAGAGTCACACTTTTTTCTCTCTCTTTTTGGCTATGTAACTCCTCATTTTTCTTTCAGCTCTTGAAATTCAAGTGAATATTCTCATCACTGAATTGCAACCCTACCCAAAAATCTCACAGCACCCTTAGAATCAGGTCCTGGAGTCCAACACAAGATTTTCCTTTTCTTTTTTCATGCCTCTCTTTCTCCTTTCTCTCTCACCTTCATGAATGTATAACCCTACTCACCAAGAAGCTGGAATCCTCTTGTACTCAACTATCTCATCATCTTCAAATCGCTCTGATCCCTTTAGCTCTCTCAAAGCCCGGCTGCCCTCTTGACTTCACCGAGAGCGAACACGTGCCCCTTCTGAATTTGCAGTCTCTGACTCACCTTGCTTTGTATTGCTCAAGCTGCAGGCACCGAGGCCGGGGAACTGCTTTTATCTATGTATACGGTACTGCAATCTAATCTGCTGGCATGGCTGATGGCAGCACTGAATGGAGGTCTGATTACACAAATCAAACTGTAAGATTAGGACCCCAATTTGTAAATTCATAGCACAACATGAACGCTTTAGAACAATAATTATCAGCAAGTCTTGATTGCAGGCAATACATTAAGAGTTCTGAAAGAAATCTCTGAAATGAACAGAAACGAAGCTCTAATAAAGTGACAACTCCAAAACTCTTCTCTGCAGACCCAGCGGGTTAATTGCATTCTTCTCCTCTTATCTTATTCTAATTAACAGCCTCTACTCTGCCACAATTTGGAAGAAGTTATCATTCAAACTGACCCATCTAGAACTCAGAAAGGAACCTTTTCAACAGTTACTTGAGGAAACAAATGCAGAAGCAGGGCTGCCGAGAACTTCTGCTTGCTTTGAACAACAGATAAACCCAAATATAGCGCTCGGGAGCTTTCTTTGTTTGACCTGTGGGAACCAAACCCAGGAAAGGACATCAACAGGCACATACCGGCGATCCTGTTCGTTTACCTGTGTTCAATAAGGAAAAGGCCTGTACTCTGTGCGGTACTTCTTTTTATGTGTGTGTTAATGACGGAGTTAATTTGGCATTTCACAGTATTAGGCATTGACATGGTATTTCTGGAACATCCGGCAGACATGATTTTTATGAGATGAAACTGTTTTTTATCTGTCATTTCCTTTATCCTTCATGACATGAATTATTCCTTCTCGCCCCTCTACCAAAGCTGGAAGTTGATTCTACTTCTCATTCACAGACTGCATGAGCTCCTATGACTTTTTCAGCTTGTGCCACAGGAAGCTTTCTGACCAGAATAAGGGTATGTGTCAGGCTTGACGCTGCACACAGCATATTTGTGTTACTACAGTTCACTATTGTTTCAGTAGATTGTGACCCCCAATAACGTAAGTTTTTCCTCTGTCCTTGGATACCAGCAGCCAGCCGCTCAAATAGGAAAAAACAGCCACAGACACTTCCTTTGACATGATGGTAACTAGGAAGAAAAGCTTCACGACAACAAGGCTTGTGACTCAAGCTGGATTTTGTCGCAGCTCTGTATTTTGCTTTTTGTTGGTTTGGGCTTTTCTTGGAGGGTGGGGGGAATGTTTGAAATGAGAAGACCAGCTAAAGAGCAGCTGTGTGTTTTAACTCACTGACATGGGAAGTGTGCTGACAATTAACCATTTTGCTGCTGCAGGAATCTCAAAGCTTTGGTTAAATATCAGAGTAGCACTGGATTTCCCAGTCCACACCGGAATAACAGGCACAGGCACCTACACTGTATGATGATTTCATCCCTCACAGAACCTGCAGCCTTATACAGAGATTTTTTTTTTTTTTTTTTTAAAG